GCGTCGCTCAGCCCTACACTCCCCCAAAAAACAAAAAAACCAATTGCCGTCCCCCCCCCCCCCCCCCCCCCCCCCAAAAAAAAAAATTAAGAAATAAAATAAAATAAAACCACCACCACCACTCCTCTTAATTTTAGCAGTATGCAGAAAGACACAAATGTGAATAAAACTAATGTAACTTCATGAACTAAGTCTACAACAGATGAAGGAAAATGTTAATTGATTGGATCGATAGATGAAACACAATACAAAAGACCATCAAACAATAACAGACCTCTTGAGTTGCAAAAGAGTGCTAAAGCTTTAACCCTAGATACAACTTCTGATCCATCCTTCTAAAATCACTCCAAGAAGGTCCCCATGAAATCAGAGTACATTCCTGCTTCGGAATTCCTATACTCCTCAGGATTGTGTGGATGGTGATCAAGTGAAGTTGAGGAAGACGATGAAACCATTCTTGCTGGCAAAGTAAAGCTCCTCTTAAACTTGTTCTCCATCTTCCTCATACTCTCTGGGTGGCTATCCAAGCTCAAGAACTCATTGGGATTTGCACCAACATTATTATGCAAGCTTGAAACATCAGTATTTGGATTTGAATTGTGGTGGTGATTTTGGTCCGGCTTGTTTCCTAAGCCCTCAGGATTGAACAAAAGCTTTGTATCGTCGGTTCGTCCAGTGAGAGCATTGAAGAAAGATAACCCATTAGGCCACTTAATATCAGCCTCCTGATCTCCCATCATATCTTCCATTCGTGACTCAGACGAATGAGGATGGAGAAACATGTGAGTTTCGTCTCGGGTTATTGGAAATCCAAGCCTGCCAGAGTTTTGAAAATTTGGACTTGCAAGAGCAGATGTAGCAGATGTAATTGGCCTTGGACCCCAATTAAAGAGAGGAGGTGGAGGGCGAGTTGAAATAGTGGGTAGCTTCAAAGGAACTGAAGAAGAGGAGGAAGTGTTTCTGGTTGAAGAAAATAGCTGAGATAGGTAAAGCCCAGATTGATAGCCAAGAGATTCAAAAGTATGTCTCATTCTCAGCACAAAATGGAGGTCTTCAGCTATCTGAGGTGGAAACATATGGTCTAATAATAAGATCAAACTGTTCAACTATTGAGTGGCTGCATACACAGACTCTCTGTGTGTGTAATATGTGTATTTCATGTGTGATTTCACCAGAAACAAGACAATACAACTAATCAAAATGACGAAAAACAGAACACATCAATTAATATAACTCACAATCTTGCAGGAACCCAGTTGCAGAAGGCCATGGCCAGCTTGAATTACAGCTATGGTCTGGTCAACAGAAATCAAAGGAGATCACAATTAGCAACAGAAGGAATAAAAATTTAAAAACTGAAAACCAAAACAGACAAACACCAGTAAGAATAACTGTTCTGAACTTTTGATTCTGACCTGAATGCCTGACTCAAATTGATCAGTCCACTCTGGTGGAAGCTGCAAGTAATAATTGAGAATAATGCTTAAAGTTCACTTTCCAAACTACTACCGTAAGTAATGATTTACAATTGCAAGGAAATCTAATATTCTGCTGATTGGTAGATGGATAAATAGAGAAAAGGTTGTGTTTGCGTGTTTTCCATATACATACAGCATCAAATGAACTCTGCCAGTAGTTGGAGATATTTGGTTCACACTCTGTAGGCTCTTTGAAGACCCATTTATGACACTTATCAGAAGCAACTTTCCCCATCAACCTGCTCAACCAATTTGCCAATCAAAAGAGAATACCTAAAATGTTCTTTTTATTGTATGTTCAATAATTACTATCCTAGGGTAAGTCCATTCAGAGAGAGAGAGAGAGAAGAATAGTAATAGTGATATTACAATAGTAGGAAGTAATGTCCATAACATCAACACCTACCCAGTACCCACCCTTCTCCATAATTATATAACTGAATGGACATTTTGCTGAAGGCTTTTCGGACAGGATCTTCCCCATCCATTTCTTCCAAACACTCTGCAACTCTTCCTCTGCAAAAACCATCTTCCCACATCAACATCCTGCACAAGAATACAAAAGATCCAATCCAAGAAGTTACAAAAAGACACAATATTACAAATACCCTCACTCATATTCATTCAGGACCAAAGAACACTAACAAAAATAGAAAATCATTCTCTCATTTATCCATTTATTTACATGGTCCCTGCTTTCCTCTGTTTTTTTCGGTGTTTTAGCAAGAACAAAGGACAACCACACTTACAAGCTACCATTGTCATCTCCAACTTTGCAGCCATTACCACCTCTAACTCTCCTGCAATAATGGCAAAGACCCGTGTAAGGGAACATCCGAAACCAAGAGAATTCGTTTATACTATGTGGGTTTGCAGAGAGAGAAAGAGAGAGACACATACGGACGAGGACGAATGGTCCAGAAGACTGAGTAAGTCCAGTCTGAGTTGAGACAGACGCTTCTGAGGGCCTCATGAAGGGCCATCATCCCAACTGCTTCTTTGCTCCTATCTGATGCTCCTGAGCCCACCATCTCTCTCTCTCTCTCTCTCTCTCTCTCTCTCTCTCTCTCTCTCTCTCTCTCTCTCTCTCTCTCTCTCTCTTCCTTTTTTCCTCTTTCACTCGCACAATTAAAACCCTTTTCTCTCTACCTCTGGAACACTAGTCCTGTGAGAATTGCTCTAACCTGAGCTTTTTTTATCTTCTTTAGCAACTCCACAATACCTTGACAACCACAAGGGAGACCCTTTCTTCATCTCTCTGTGTGTGTCTCTTTCTCTTTCTCTTTCTCTCTCTCTCTCTCTGTGCTTTTTACCCAACTCTCAATCAGTTAACAAACCTGATTACTTGTACAAACAAAACCAATAGTTAAACCTCCCTCGCTGTATCAATTTTACCAAACCAAAAGCAATATTAGAGAGAGAGAGAGTTGAGTATTGTAATTTACTTCCATTAAAAGCAGTGGGGACAGCTTTTTATCCTTTTGCGAGCACAAACAGAGAGCAGGGAGGCAAAAAGGCAAGTGTGGCCTTGGTGCCAAATTACACTCCTACCCTTCTCTTCCGTTTGGATTTTCGACTTTGTACATTTATTTTTTTTAAACGAGGACGATGAAATTTGAATTTGTTATGAATCAATAATGTATACGATAATCATTAGATTAACTCTTAATCTCTTCTGACTTTGTGCATTATAAACCTTGTTTCAATTGTCTTGACACATAAACCCGGTCATATTTTTTGGTAGTTACACTTTCCAAAAGAATAAAAAAGGGATTGAAAAAACACGTCAAAGAAAAAAAATAGTGAATTTCTTATTCGCGGAGTGTAACTCTGGCAAAGTGGATGGATTGATAATTAATGGCATTTTAAATTCATCTTAAAATTTTTATTCTGAATATAGTCGAGTTTTAATTGGAGCCCTTCATCTTAAATATTGTGCAAATATAATTTTTTGAACTCAAATTAGACTAGTCATATTGTAATTTAGATTCAAATTCAGATTCATTGATGAACAATTATGGAGACTCGATTGTTTTGTCTTTTGAAGGTAGAATAACTATATTTTTATCAATCAATCTTTCGAATTCAATAAAAATATCATATTATATCAAGTTGATACGTTGGAANCCTCTCTCTCTCTCTCTCTCTCTCTCTCTCTCTCTCTCTCTCTCTCTCTCTCTCTCTCTCTCTCTCTCTTCCTTTTTTCCTCTTTCACTCGCACAATTAAAACCCTTTTCTCTCTACCTCTGGAACACTAGTCCTGTGAGAATTGCTCTAACCTGAGCTTTTTTTATCTTCTTTAGCAACTCCACAATACCTTGACAACCACAAGGGAGACCCTTTCTTCATCTCTCTGTGTGTGTCTCTTTCTCTTTCTCTTTCTCTCTCTCTCTCTCTGTGCTTTTTACCCAACTCTCAATCAGTTAACAAACCTGATTACTTGTACAAACAAAACCAATAGTTAAACCTCCCTCGCTGTATCAATTTTACCAAACCAAAAGCAATATTAGAGAGAGAGAGAGTTGAGTATTGTAATTTACTTCCATTAAAAGCAGTGGGGACAGCTTTTTATCCTTTTGCGAGCACAAACAGAGAGCAGGGAGGCAAAAAGGCAAGTGTGGCCTTGGTGCCAAATTACACTCCTACCCTTCTCTTCCGTTTGGATTTTCGACTTTGTACATTTATTTTTTTTAAACGAGGACGATGAAATTTGAATTTGTTATGAATCAATAATGTATACGATAATCATTAGATTAACTCTTAATCTCTTCTGACTTTGTGCATTATAAACCTTGTTTCAATTGTCTTGACACATAAACCCGGTCATATTTTTTGGTAGTTACACTTTCCAAAAGAATAAAAAAGGGATTGAAAAAACACGTCAAAGAAAAAAAATAGTGAATTTCTTATTCGCGGAGTGTAACTCTGGCAAAGTGGATGGATTGATAATTAATGGCATTTTAAATTCATCTTAAAATTTTTATTCTGAATATAGTCGAGTTTTAATTGGAGCCCTTCATCTTAAATATTGTGCAAATATAATTTTTTGAACTCAAATTAGACTAGTCATATTGTAATTTAGATTCAAATTCAGATTCATTGATGAACAATTATGGAGACTCGATTGTTTTGTCTTTTGAAGGTAGAATAACTATATTTTTATCAATCAATCTTTCGAATTCAATAAAAATATCATATTATATCAAGTTGATACGTTGGAAAATTTTGCTTCATAAATGTAGTAGTTTAATACTTTCTTTTCAAAAATATGTTACAATTATTTCGAATGTTTTTTCTTAATTCTTTTTTCTTTTGAATCTAATCGATAATGAATTTTTCATTAATACATAATGGATAACCTATTATTATTAATAAATGCCAATAAAACCCATCCAATTTTTTTTTTTTTTAGTTAGAAGTCTCCTAGTTAATTTACATGCATCTGGACTAATTTTAGTTTCAATCTGGTCAAAAGCAAGTCATTCACAATTGGATTAAGGTATTCGTAAATGATAAATCTCTCATAATTTAATCATAAATGATTGTTAAAATTTAAATTTAAGACATTTAAATTTAGAACTCATCTCTATTATCATGCGAAATAAGTTGGGTTAAACTCATCCAATTATATCCAATACAATTATGCAAAGAAAGAGTAATATTATTTAGACCTAAAAATTTGACTTAATTTACTAATATAATAATTTAATTTCAAATGAATCATTAGATCAACATCAAATTTTAATATTTGATAGATCTTACAGTTAATCAAAATATTATAGTGAATTAAGTATGTAACTTAGGTCAATTTGTTGATAGTAATGCTCGCAAAGAAAAGCTTGGGTACAACCATCGATGGATAAGATGGGGTAAACAAGACATTTTGGTTGTTTACAGAATCTTTACCGGTCAAAAGTGATGTGGGGAGATACTGAACTGAAGGGTTATGATTTGGATTAATATTTTAAAGAATTTTTAAATGTCATTGGTATACGAGTTGTAAGGACTTTACTTGGGGGCAATCATAATTATAATTTAATTGTACTGTCTTGGTTAGAGAAAAACTTATGATTTGGGCACACCCATTTTTTTGTCAATTGAGGAATCTCCCTTCAAAGCTAAGGTAAGTGGACGACCTATCCACACCAATTTCAAATGTTTAATGAGATAAAGAGTTAATTTAAAAATTATAGTGAATTATATCAATAAATTAAGTCTCAATAGCGTTGCTCGTATTTGAATTGTGTAACTTGTAGACTTGTTAATTGTGTTTAGTGAACTGAATTCGTATCAAAAAGTATTTCACTTTTTACGTAATTTGTTTATTAATTCGTGTCTAACAAGTCGTATTATATTGCGTTTGTATATTTCTTTTGATTGATTTCACTCATACCCAATTTGTTTATTAATATTGTCAGATCGAGTCCACTCTTCTACGAGACAGATGGCTTAAAAAATACTCAAACTCTCTAATTTCACGTCATATTTGTGTTGTGTTAGTAAATCATGTCTTGTGAACATCTCCTCTTTGCATTTTTGGTGGAGAGTTTGCAATAATGCTTTGACTTTGCGCGAAAATTTATGTAAGAGATAATATGCTAATTCTCCTTGGTGCATTTTTTGCAGTGATAAAATAGAGTTTGTTGAACATCTCTTCTTTGCATGCGAATGGACGAAGAAGGTATGGTTTGTTCTGATTTGGGGCTGAAATTGGAGTTGGGACCATCTATTTTTGTTATTTAGTGGGCCTCGTCTTTGTTGGATGATTTCAAGGATATCCCCCTTTTGCGTGTGATTATGGGGAAGATTGCAACGATTGCATGGGCTATTTGGAATTTTAGAAACTATTTTATTTTCCAGCATGAAGTTCCTAATGCTTTTGCCACATTGATGAGAGCCCAGAATCTGTGGAGTGAGACGTTTTTTTGCTGATAAGGGTAGGCAGGGCAATCATCAGGATTCCTTGATTCATCACCAAGGTCAAAACCCAGGCCTTTTTCCTCTTTTTTTGCTGTGTTTTGTGATGGTGCCTTTAAGAAATATAAAGTTGTTATTGCGGTGCTCTTGAGGAGATCAAATTTGGTTTTGCTGGAAGGTCTTGTAGTTTCCAGCAAGTTCTCCGATGCAGCTGCAGTTAGAGAAGCCTGTCTCATGACTTCAGTTATGCAGCTCCATCAGGCAATCATTGTAAGTGATAATTTGGAGGTTATCAGGTTGAGTGCGACCGAAGATGTTCATCAATGGGAGATTAGTGCTTTTGTTGGTGATATTCATCACTTTTCTAAGGTTTTTCATTTACGTTTTTTACACAAGCCAAGAGCTCTTAATCAGACAACTCATTGAGTTACAACCAAGGCTTCATCAAACTCAATTCCATTGAGTTGGGTGCGCTACCCCCTCCCAAGCTTAAGACTTTATTATCTTCTAATTGTAATCATAATTTCCTACGTAAATGATATCTTTGTATAGTTTTTCTTGTTAAAAATAAATAAATCATGTCCTATTTTAACGTCTTTAATGACTAGACACATAAGTCAATCAATAAACTAAATTAATTTTTAAATCCTCATAGTTTTATGTGTAATATATTGTGTTTTTGAGTCTAATAATTAATTCCTTTAAAATAGAAGTAAGATTACCTAGTATTTATCTTTTTAAATTTTCTTTATAAATGGGAGTCTGGTATATTTCTAGTTATGATTTATTAAACTTAAAAATAAAGAAAAACGAGTAATTAAAATTTAGATCCTTGTAATATTTTTTTATTTCATTTCAATTGTTGATTGATCATCTATTATTAGCTAGAGCCTCTGGTTTCCCCAATGAGAGGTCAAGGGTTCAAAGATCACTGGATGCAATAGTGTGGCTATTTGGTAGAACAAGACATCAGTTTCTTGAACGAACCGTATCCAAGTTTCTGGTGTGAGTTTTAAGCTTCCGGTGAAACGCAAGTCCTGATTTAACTGGTGTATGAGTTAAGAGACCGGTTCATACACTTGGGTTTGTCCTTAGTTCTACTCAGAGTTGTGAATCTAAACGACATAAGTGTTCCTCTACTCCCTGAAGATAGGTCATGAGATTTTTCTGTTGCCAAAAAAAAAAGTGAAAAACTCGCTTGCATATATAAAATAATTTTTTTATAATAAATAATAAAACAAAAATAAATATATTAGAAGAGATCTCATTTCCAAACAGGCTTAGAGGGGTGACATTATGGCCAAAGTGTGACTGTCTAACCCCAAAAAATATCTCAAGTGGTAATATGAATAAATTATAAATTTAAATATTTTAAATTTAAATTTTGACACTATCTTATGGTCAAATTATAAGAAATTTATCTCTCATGAATATTTTAATTTTGACGTAGATGTCTTTGATCAAACCAAAAAAAAAAATAATGTACCTAAGTTAGCCCAA